CCCTCTGACCCTCCCCCTTCTCATGTACTCGCTCTCTCTCATTCTCTCTCTCTCAAATAAAAATAAATAAATAAATCTTTAAAAAAAAAAAAAAAGAATGCACATGCTGTGACTGAAATGTGATGTGGGGTCTTCAGAGAGGGCTCAGAGCAAGTCCAGGAAAAAGTAACTACTCATGTGCCAGGAACAGTTCTAATTTCTTTATACATATTATCTCATTTTTAAGATAACCCTGGGAGGCAGGTATTAATATTTCCATGTGTACATGAGAAATCAGACTCATAATTTTCCCAAAGTTATAGAATTGGTAAGTAGTGGAACTCCCACTCCATTGGGGCTGACATTGGTGCACAGTTAACCACTCCATTAATGAGGCTGTGATCGTTTTTGTGATGTAAGTATAGACAAACTTCAGTGGAGGCACAGAGTATTTTGTCTGACTAGAGAAATCTAGGAAGGCTTCATGAAGGAAAAAGCCAGGGCCCTGAAGGTTGAGAAGGATTTCTATAAGTCAATATGGAGAACATTCCATATAGGGAGAACATGGAAACAGGCATGGGAGCATTGAAGTGGTCTGCATGGCTAGAGCAGTGACCTGGTGTGGAGAGGTGGGCACAGGGGATAGGGTCCCACGTATCAGCCATCCTGAACCATGCTAATTATCAGCTGTGTAGAACCATACTAATTATATATAATTATATAATGTTATAGCGATTGATTTCTCAGTTGATAAAATTCTAGAACAATGGTTTTGTACTGTAGAGTATAAATCAAATGGGAATATCTTTAAAATACAGATTGTAACTCCTGCATTCTGGGTCAGTGAGTATACAGAGGACAACTGTAGTTGATTGCTGGGTAGGTGGTGGGTTGTCATGCATTGTGATATAGATAAGTGGGAATAAAGCAAGTATCTGATGATACAGTAGAGGGGATTTAATGTAGCTTCTGGTGCATATTTTGGCAAGTTGTATTAAAAGCATTAAAATTTTGTATACCTTCTTACCCAACAATTATATTGCCAAGAATTTATCCTAAGGAGGTAATCATAGATGTATGGAAATGTATAGTGAATGGATTATAATGTCCATGGCTAGTGCTTACTAAGTGTGTACCTCATGCTAGTTACTGTTACACATGCTTCATGCATATTAACTCTTAAACTTTATCCCAACTCTGTGAGGTAGATACTACTATTACCCCCAATATTCAGTTAAAGAGAGTAAAGCACCAGGAGATTAATTTATTCAAGATTTCATAAAAAGTGGAGGATACAGAGCCTGAACCCAGTGCCCTTGATGGTGATGTTATACCATCTCTCCTCACAGCATTGTTAGAATAGTCAAAAATCTAAAGCAATCTAAAGTTCTGCAGTATGACGTCTAAGAGAGCACATGTTTCAGAAATCAACATACCAGCAAGCAGATCATTCAGGACTCAGACTTTGGAGACACTCTTTACCTCCTCCACCCCCAGAGATGATCAGAACAAATCCCATCATACCTCCCATCCCTGCGGTTATCAGTTGGTGCCAAAAGGGAAAACCTCTTCAGTCTGTGATAACTCACATCTTTATGGCTCAGTGTATTTCTTGATCTGATCCAATCCTGAGCTCCTGCCATGTGTGCTCAGCCTCCCCTCATAAGCAGCAAACTCCCTTGTATCTTCAACATCTTCTCTGAACATTTTCGCTACTTCCTTACTCTCCTTTAACCCTGGCAGCCCCCATGGACACTGATTTCCCACCACCGAGCAGAGGCTGGTGTTTTTTTTCCCCCTTAACACTTTATTATAATGTTGTTAAATTAACATTTGTTAATTAGAGTATAGGGTGCTGGATGGTGGGTCAGGGTTCAGCATTAGACCACAGGAGAAACTGAGATAGTTTATCACTCACAGTCCTGGAGGAGGTACACGGCACCCGTCGAGGGGTCCTATGGGGAGGTCAAGGCAAGGTACAGGCAGAGAGAGGCAGGACCCCAGGGCACATGTCTTTATTAGGGTCCATGGGTGGACTGCTTTGGGATTCCTGGGCCAAGGTAAGATTGGTCAATCCAACCAAAAGGAGTGAGGTTTTGGTATGCTACATGGAGATCTTATCTGAGGGGTGCACAAGGGGAAGGCCCTGGGAGGCAGGGGAGACTTGATCATAAGGGCTGTTGGGAAAAGTCCTATGAGGAACTTAGGTTTGCTTGTGACTGTAGGCTAGTCTGTAAGGCATGCGCTTGCATGAGGGGCTAGTGTGAAATGCCCTGCAGGCCATTTGACCAAACAAAGTTGAGGCTGAGGCAGCAACAGTATGGAGTAGCTTAGCTAAACTCTCGACGTACCCCATAGACCCCAGGGCCAGGTAGTCAAAAAAGTGACCCACTGAGTATCACTGTGGCTTCAAAAGCATTCCTCCCTCATTTCCCCCTGTGAAAATGTTTTGTCTGTCAACACTTGCCCACAGTGAGGTTGAACTCAGGCTGTCACATAGATGTGCAGGGAATATAAAGATTGGGCTACTGGGCTCTTATTCAGAGTCTTCTCTCTCCCTCCTGGATCATCCGTTTATGGTCTAGCTGCCACCCCCAACTGTCTCTTGATTTGGGACCACCCCGTTCTGCTCTTTGAAGAGCCTGTCTTCTGAATGCCTACTACTACTTGCTACCTCCATACCCTCAACGAATTTTATTCCTTTTGTAAATTATTTAGAAGTTTTTATAAATACAGAAAAGAACAAAGGGTGACACAATAAGTACCCACATATCTGCCACCCTCAGTGAACAGAGATGAACCTTCTTATATTTATCTTAATCTATCTTCAAAGAATGGAAAATTACAGATAAAATTTTCATTTATGTATTTCTCTCTCCAGTCCATTCCACCTCCTTCATCCTCGAGGTCACTGCAGACATGAATGTAACATGAAACCAAGCAAGGTTTCAGTTTTTTTGGTCATGATTTATTTACCCATTTCCCCCTTTTGATGGACATTGGGTTATTTCCCATTTTTCTCTGTATTATAATAAACAGTGCCTCAAAGTATATCCTAGTATACATCTCTTTCTACTCAATATGCACGAGTTTCTCTAGGTCTGTGCTGTCTGACAGAGTAACCGCTACTCTGGTGCCTCTTGAGCACGGGAAATGGAGAGGGTCTAAATTGAGATGTATTAAGTGTAAAAAAAAAAGCACTGGATTTTGAAGATTTAGTATGAAAAAAATACAAAATATTTCATGAATAAGTTTATGTTGATTACAAATCAAAATACTTTAAATATGTTGGATTAAATAAAATGTTATGTCAATTAATTTTATGTGTTTCTCTTTACTTTTTAAAGTGTGGCCACTAAAAAACTTAAATATTATATGGCCCACATACTTCTACTGGACAGCACTGCTCTAGGGGATATAAGTAAATTTGGAATTGGTGGACGCGGCGTATGCTGGGTAAACAGATTTTTTTTCATTATCTTTCAGTCCCACCCCTTTATATAAAGCCCCCCAGTTTCTTGGTGCTCTTTCCTCTCTCTGAGCTCCTATGGCACTTAGGTCTGAATGTCTCATTTGGAATTTCAAATACACAGTTTTGCATTTTGGTTTGTCTTTCTATGCTGCCTTTCCCCCTTTACATCAGGGACCATACCTGATGACTTTGCTTCCCCAGCAGTAGCTCAGGGCCCCACATGTTAGAGCCATTTAAATATTTAAGGAAGGTTTTCAATGCTCCTGGTATGGTACCTGTCTGCCTTTAAGCTGTGACTAACCCTGAAATAATTTTATCTCATTTACCTAGAATACGCCTTATATTTCTTGTGCATCCAGGCTTCACTCTGCTCTCCCTAATATGGGAAAATTGCTTAAGAAGTAACATTAGTCCTCACTCTGCTTCCCTTTCTGGGAAGAAACTGCTGCCAATGTCTTTCCAACAAACTTCTCGCTTCTAACAAGTTCTGGTGTCTTGGTAACTGGTGAGGCCAGGGCCAGCTTCACATGTACAAGGCCATCAGTCAGGTTTATAAAAGCTGCTCGTCAAATGACACCAGCGTCAGCCGTTCTACGCCAGGTTGCACCTGGTTCTATGAAACATGGCATCATGACAGCTTCCGGGAGCATCATGACAGCTTCCGGGAGCATCATAAGAGCTTCCGGGAGCGCAGGAAGTGGCCGTGCTGCAAAACACAAGGGCAGACAGGAATGAAGCTAGAGGTGAGTAAGCTATGAAGAAACTTCGAGCCGCCGACACAACATAGACAAGCCCCTCCCTCAGAGCTGGAGCTTTGCGTGTGATCAGAGGCCGGCGTCCCTGTGGGATGCCGTTCTGTGAAATGAAATAGTGGTTTCTTGTGTTCCTCCACTGGTGTTGACTCTGTGGAAGAAAACCTGGGAAATGAGCAAAAAGCCACAGAGAGATTATGTTAAAGGCCATTTGATTGAAATCTAGACCTGCCATTCCCAAGTCAGTCAGAATCATCTGGGAGTCTCTTAAACAGATTCTCAGGCTCCATCCCAGGCCTACTAAAGCAGAATCTTCAAGGGCCGGGCCTTGGAATCCACATTTCAACAATTTCCCCAGGAGATTCGTTTGTTGCCATTTCAAGAGCTGGCATTTGGAGTCACTATTCCTACCATGGAAGACAGACTCACTGCTCAGATATAGAAGGTTTTAAATTAAACCTCAAGGGAGACTCCATATGAAGCCCAAGCTGACAACATGGGATGGAAGCTGGAAACTGTAGCATATGAATGGGTCTGGAAATCAGCTGGAGCACCTGCTAGCTTTGCCTCATGTCCTTAGGCAGAATGCTTCCTATTTGTAAAGCTTCCCTCCCCCACCTCCAATCTTTATTTAGCCTTTTTCCACTTGACATTCTCGGCTCCGGATGACTAAGACTTTCAAGAAAATGATCTTTTCTTACCCACCCAAACTGCTCCACAGTAGTCACCGAGATGGGTTTTACTTTACATGCTCCCACCTCCCAAATGTGCCTTTTAAACCTCCAGCGTTTCGTCCCATCATTGCACTGCCCAGGACACAGCAATTAGGTTGGTCCCTAACACATTCTGGCAAGCTTGTTATCTTTTTTACCCATTCTCCTTTTATGGTCCTGAGGAATCTCATACCACAGTTTTTAGTTGATAAGTTACTTACACACACACACACACACTTAAAGCTGAGTGTGTTGTGTTCATTCTTAAGAGAAAAGTGACTTTGGTCCTTGGCTATATCTCAACATTCTCCACTTGTCTCAGCGACATGGTGATAGAAAACAACCTTAAAACGGAACCAGAGTGTTACCACCTGCTTTGAAACCTAAGCTCTGAGCTCCTTTGAGGGTTTTGTAAATTATAAATGATTAAATTAAGATTTAATTCTGTACCTCTCGTATTTCTTCATATTTTTAATTTGCTCTTCTGGGCTATCTCAGATTTTCATCTCTTGGTGCCAGGTTAATAATTCAGAGAGTACTTGAAAACCAGAATCTTCATTGCAGACAAGGGGTCACATGGATGTCCCATAATTCATTCATCTGTTGAATTTTTCCATAGAATTAACAAGACTCCATGCTTCTCTGTTGATCACAACCAACACACTTAGTCAAATCTTTCTGAGGAAAATCTGAGCAGAGCTCTGGACTCACAGTCAGAAAATGTGGGTTCTCCTCCAAGCAAGATCTTACTCGTCTTATGACATTTGGCTCACCCCAGATCCCAAACCCGTTTCTCACAGCCTAACCAAATGAGGACATGAGCCTTTCCTGCCTCAAAGGTCTGTGAAGAACTGATGATAAACACACATGGGGCAGTACTTTGAAAATTATGAAACACTATACTAAATAGGTGTTATAATTTGTTATTGTCATTGGAGAACAAGAGATGACAAATCTAACAGGAATATCATTTGACTTTATGTCATCCATAAACATGAGTTTTATAGGGGCTTTTTAATAATCAAAAGTTATCATGTGATGACCGTTACATAGTATTTTGAGTTGAGCTAGGGATGCCTTAGGAAAAAGAGCAAGAAGTTGGTCTTGTTTTATGTTCTTCTGACCTATATGTTGTATTTTCCTTTAGAAACATTTTCCTTTTCTTTGAAATCTGACTGTGACTATTTCCAAGCATCATTTCACATTAGTGTTTGCTTAAGTACGGGTGTGACTGTGTTTACTTCAGGGTTTTTATTCTTGATTTGAGAAGAAATATGGTCACATATACATAACTTTTATCATCAACAAACGTATAATAATCTCTTGTTAACTATTGCAGAAGCCAGAGAAGATGTCAAGATACAGAAGACATGGTCCCTATCTCTTAGGCGTTTACAATTTAACTGGAAAGATAAGACCTGAATACGTAGAATTGTGACCAAAATACAGGAAGTAGTAAAGAGCAGCCATGAAGGTACGGTCTCGGCTGTGCATGAGCAGAGTGTGGCATGCACTAAGGAAGTTAGAAATGGCGAAAGAGAAGATGGGCTAGGGAGTGGAAGTAATATGCAGAGTTCTTTGAATACCAGTGCATTAAGCAGAGGGAGCTTTGCAGGTCATTATGCCAGAGAGGAGATTATAAAGTTTGTGAGATTATTAGCACAAGTTCCCCCAAAATAATGCCTAAGGCAAAGCATACGGATTAATGATGTACTGGGATGTATTTCCAGGGAATCAAGAATGAGAGAGTCCAGGAAGAGGCAAGGAAGAAAGGAAGCCAAGTATCCAAGGTTGCACCACTGAGCCAGCCATAGCTTCCCCCCAAAACAGCTGTTTGCTCCATCCTTTGGGACATCTTCAGAGAGGCTTTATGAACCTAGCACATCTTGAAATAATCCATGGAATGGGTGGGGAGGGGGTGTAAACAATTTAATCACTGGCCCTTCCTGTCTCTTGACTCATTTGGTCCCAGTCTGCTCCATGAGGGGCTACCATCCCCCCACTCTGGGTTAGGTCAGTTGAGTCAGAGCAGCAGCTGGGGAAGCCAGAGCCTACGTGTGCCCTGTCCAGTGAGGTCAAAGGTGCAGGTTGGTCCAGCACATAGGCCTGTGGGGGCTGTAGCCGCAGTAGCTGAGCTTTGTGACTATATCAGAACCACCGTTCCTGGGGAGTAAGGCAGATGGTCATGGCCCACGTTGGGGAGTGGGGGCTTGTGAGCTGGCTCAGGGAGATCTGGGAGAGCACGTAAACTGAATCCAGTCTCAAACTGGTATTTGGTGCAAGAGAGGATAGAGGCTGGACAAAGGAAAAAAATCAGTTAGGAGTAGGTCAGAGCAACCACTGTGGGATGTGAGCCTGAATGAGAATAATGGAACGTGGGACGCACAGAGATGAATTTAGAAATATTTCAAAAGAAAATCCTTCGGTGAAATGAAAATACAAACTAGAGGAAAGAGGAGAGGGGAGACAGAGCATGTATACACATTCCTAAAGTGAACCAGAGGCAAGGTCCTGCTAGAGGAGCATTCTCTGATGCAGCTTTTCTGGGTACACTGTAGTGGGTTATTGTAAGATTGAGATTGCTGTGTTTAAGAGGTCATTTTGATTAAGTGGTAAAAACAAAGAAATGTATGCTTCCCATTTTATTCATGGCACCCAAACCCATTTTATTAGTGCAGTTAAATTAGGATAATAATTTAGAATATCTCAATTCCTGATGAATCCTTCCACCTGGCCGTCTTCTGGACTGTTGTCCTGCTGTATTTATGTTGTCACTAATGGGAACCTTAAGTAATACCATAGACCAGTTACTTTATATTCAAACTGTCCTTCACACTGGGCCTGTAGACTCCGGTCACAATGGGTATTTCTTGGGTCTCCTAGTATAATGATCATCCATTTTTTCCCCATCATGATCTATCTTGTTCATATCCTTCCCTGACAAGTAGACATAAGTATAAAGTAAGTTCTGATGAGACTTTATCCCAAGATGGGGCTCTCCTTTCCCCAAAGAGCAAACAAACCCTAAAACAGTGTCAAATCAGAGGCAAGGTGAACAGTCTGAAACTGGGCTGTATGTCCAAATGGAGCTATAGGAAGATAAGGAGCCAAGTTTGAAGGCCAAGAAGGCAGACAGAGGTGCTGTGGGATGTGAGCCTGAATGAGAATACATTTTAGAAAGAATCAAAGATAACATTGGGGAAATGAGTCTGGGATGATTTCCAAGCTACTATGCAGACACCCAAGGTAGCCTAGGAGAAGGGGATACACAACAGTAGACAGACTCCCTTGTATTTTACCAACGGAATCAACAACTATTTGCTTCCACCTCCCTTATAAAAAATCACTAGTTTTGGGGGAGAAAATGCACTCCTTTGAAACACCAGTGAAGGGCAGCACCAACAAGAACTAAGATTACAGTGTGGACATGGTGCACTGTGAGGAGCTAGCCCACAAACCACAGGCTGAAGGCTGCCTGGAGGACTCCCTCTCTTCTGAGGGTTCGCTGGCCCTTTTGTTCAGGGGGTTCCCAATTCTTAATGTACAACAAGCATTTGGTGGCTAGGTTTCCACATGGTGGTCAAAACCAAATCTCTGTGTAAGCTGCTTACTACCTGAAATTATAATTTTTTGACCACAGAGCTGTAAATTTCATGCTGTGCTGGATTTCTGTGTACTAATTTCTGTGTACTAACCCTGAAGAACAGTAACTCTGGGGAACAAACAATTGAAAAATGGAATTTGAAAAAGGAAGGGAAACAGATATGGAAGAAGGATTTATTAACTAGAAGTAAGTTTCTGGCATAATAGACGGCTGGTGAATGCCTAAAATGTGTGGTGTACTAAAGACCATGCATCATTTGGGTGTTTCCAAGAGTTTCTCTTATTGATCAAATGGAAAATGGGCTTTCCAATGGTGGGGAAACTATTCAAATGAACATGGTCATCTCTAATTTCCTTTAAAATTCTTCAGCTTAAAAGAAATTGAGTTTAAAAATCACCTTTTCAAGGGGCACCTGGGTGGTGGCACAGTCGGTTAAGCATCTGACTCTTGATCTCAGCTCAGGTCTTGATCTCAGGGTCATGAGTTCAAGCCCTGCATTGGGCTCCACACGGGGCAGGGAGCCTACTTTAAAAAAAAAATGACTTTTTCAATATGTAGTAGGTAACACATGGATTATTTATGTTTTCTGTAGTGTCTACTTCACTAGTACAAAATTTTTTTAAATTTCCAAAGAGGATTTAGAAAATGAGTCTGGCATAGTGTGGACTTTGGAA